CCCTTTTCTGAACCTTTTCCAATGCCAATACATCTTTTTTGAAAGGAGGCAACCACATCTGTATGCAGTAGTCAGGATGTGGGCGTACCATGGTTTTATATAGAGGCAATAAGAGAGTCTCTGTCTTGATGGTAGTTACTGTTGAGAAAGTATCGATCTCTGATCCCAAAGCATCAGGCCCACGTTCCTGCAGAAAGTCTGTGTTTCCCTTCAGTCGTCGTTCTCCAGAACGGTCTGTCTGCTCTCTGCCCATCCCTCCTGGGACTTTACAGGGCCTCAGACCCTCTGGAGACCTAGGCGTTAACTCGAGTTTCTTACCAATAAATGCTATTTTTAAATATACACACACACACACACAGAGCAGCCAATTACACTGTGAGCCAGCCCAAAGCTCAGAATTCTCCTCTCCCTTGTGGAAGGTCCCTTAGTTACTGTTTACTCCTAAAGCTGGGTAAGAGCCCAGAAGCATGATAGAGCGACCTTGGCTGGGACGACTCTGGTCTCCAACCTGATTACATTCAATTGCCCTGTTCCCCTAGAGGCTGACAGACCCCCTGGGCCTGCCCAGAACGGTGTTATAGGCAGCACTGATGCTTGTGGCTGCACACGCTGGCTGAGAGAGGTGCAGGCCACGGCTACCCGAGGGGGAGTCCCAGGGCGTTCACAGGTATCTGTCTGTTGCGGAGGAGCTCACCTGCAGGACAAGTCTAGTGTGATGTGGGCGTGGTGGGACGGAGAGTTGATCCGTCGTCCTTTCTGATTTGCAAAGCTGTTAAACATCCCAGGGCATGTTCCTTAGGTACCACTGGCCACAGGCCGGCTGATGGGCTCCCCTACTGAGGTGGCCACGTGTCCATGGCCGAGATGCCTTTGGGGATGAACAGGGGCAGGGCCGGCCCTACCATGAGGCGAACTGAGGCGGCCACCTCATGTGCCAGACTGTGGGGGTGCGCCACTAGGACCCAGAATGTAGAAAATTGGGTCTGTTGCTGGTGCAGATGTATCCTCTCTGCTCTGGATGCACAGAGATGGGGGATGCTGTGCTGGAGGAAGGAGGGCACAAGAGACCTTTCAAAGTTTTGGCCCAAGCGAGGGGACTTGGGGGCATCATTTGAGCTCCCCGCCTCAGGTGCCACAATGTTGTGGGCCGGCCCTGGACGGGGGTTGGTAGCTGCAGAAGAAAGGGGAGGTCTGAGGCTGTGTTAATGCGCAGAGACTGTCCCCTCCTGCTTTCGCCACTCAGAGCTCCGGTGGGAGGATTAGGGGAGCTGTGGTCTGACGTTAAACTACAGGAAAACGTGGAGGTCCCAGCTGTCCTCACTGGAGCAGTTACAAGCCTCTCTCAGCATCAGACAGACACCGTCTCTCCTTGTTCGGCTTGAGCTGCCGGTGGGACTGTTGCCTCCCAAACTCAGAAAACAATTCCGCGGGAAGCGACACTCAGCACGGAGCAGCCCGCAGGCTGACGGGCTGGCAAACTTGTACGCAGCTAATAAGGATGTTTCCTAATTGAAGGTGTCAGAGTTGTATCTAAATGCGGTGCCTGCAGCAGCACTTACAGTGGCCAATCCATTTGGGAGTCTTAATCGCCTCGGCCTGGCGGAGAAGTGGTGGGAGTACGAGTATTTCCATAGGCCAAATAGGGGTGATGGAAACCAATTTCTTCTATCACCGTTATATGTTCAGACTTCCCTTCCCAGCTTCCCCCACTGGTTAATCAGCCTCAGTGCCAACCATTCGGCCCTTTTTTCCAGTCAGAATTTGTCAGGCTTCTGATTCCAGTCACTGGGCCTTAATGCACCTTTCTCAGCTAGGATACCGGGCCCATTTTTGCTGGGTAAGAGAAATAAATGAAGGTCTTTCAGTTTCTCGCGGTCAGGCATTTTCTCCAGGCATTTTAGTGGCTCTTTTCTACACCCTCTCCAATTTCCAACACCCTGTTTGAAACGTGGGTGTTAGGACGGGACGCGGACGGTTTCACCTACGACACGTGCTGAGGTCAAATCCTTCCCCTGCTCCAACTCCCCACTCCCCTGGTTACTCAGCCAAGGCTCCCCGCCGCCCCCTGGACACAGCATGGCATGGGGCACGTAGGACGAATTGAGTGTCCACTGTTAACCCGTGAGCATGGTCACTGCCCCTGCGTTCCATAGCACAGTGCAGCTGGCGGTCGTTCCGGCCGCATTCCCTCGCCCAGAGGATACGTTTGCATCTGACTGTTTAAAAAAGCTCTTTGTTTGTGTTGGCCCAACTCAGCAAATGCTCCAGGTCATTCGGTGTCTGTGTCCTGGCCCCCTTGTGTAACCCGTCCCCCAGGCTTTGGGTCGTCCACCCATTGGCTGTGTCTAGACTGGCAAGTTTTTCCGCAAAAGCAGTTGATCTTGCGGAAAAACTTGCCAGCTGTCTACACTGGCCGCTTGAATTTCTGCAAGAACACTGACGATCTCATGTAAGATCGTCAGTGTTCTTGTGGAAATACTATGCTGCTCCCGTTCGGGCAAAAGTCTTTTTCCAAAAGACTTTTGCGCATAAGGGCCAGTGTAGAAAGCACAGGGCTGTTTTCCGCAAAAAAGCCCTGATGGCTAAAATGGCGATCGGGGTTTTTTTGCAGAAAAGTGCGTCTAGATTGGCCACGGATGCTTTTCCACAAAAAGTGCTTTTGCGGAAAAGTGTTCTGCCAATCTAGACTCTCTGTTCCGAAAATGCTTTTAACGGAAAACTTTTCCGTTAAAAGCATTTCTGGAAAATCATGCCTGTCTAGACGTAGCCATGGTGTCTAGGAATTTTCTATTGGCCACCAGGTCATTTATTGAACAGTTTCGGGCCTTGAGCTAGTCCTTGCAATGCAACACTTAGAACAGCCCCATTCGCCAGCTGCTGCCTGTGATCTGTCAGTCCGTGTTCAGCCCTCTTGCCGTGTGCTCTGCCGATACTGTAACGGGCTCATGGTCAGACTAACGTTTTCCAGAAGGAAACCAACTCCCTTGCAATAATCCGAGTCCCTTGCGCCTGATTCCTTTGAGAAAACTAATCTCCATGTTGTTGATTGACATTAATTATATTCCTAGATAGTTTTCTAGCTATTCCCATACTGGCTTCTCCACTGTTTCCTGCCTTTGCCAGTACTTGGCTCCCAATGCGACGTGGGCCTGATCCATCACTTAGTAACTCTGCTGTTTGCATCTCTAGGTTTCTACTGGAAATGCTGCTTCAGACCTTCCTTGCCTGCTAATGGACTGCAAAGTGTCGCATCACCTTAGGTCAGATGAGACCAGCACACGGCTTCTTTCCAAATGCAGAACTAAAGGACTTCTTGAACACACCCACTTTTTCTGTAACCAACAGGCTTTTTGTTCTCCTCTAGGAATGGGTGTAACTTTCGGTAGGATTTCTTTTGTTCTTATTCTACTCAACAGCCTCCTTCTTGTGATGCTTAAGTCTGCTAAGCAAGGATTTTTCTTGGATGTCTTTAATGTTCATTAGCAACTTTCATGACTGTCAAATTGTGTTCCTGGTGTCTATTTTTTCCTTATTAGTTATGTATGGCTGATTTTCCCTTTATCATTAACTGCTCATTGCTATTGAACTGTGGGGTTTTTTGTCCAAAGTTCTCTGCTTTCCTAATTGTGGAGTTATATCTTTCAATGTATACAATGATTTCCTCATAACGAACTCCCATTTTTCTGTCTAAATGTTACCTACCAATCAGTTATGCTGATAGTTTGCCTCAGCTCTGGGGAATTACCCATTCAGAAGCACAAGGTTTTCACTGAGGGTGTGTCTAGACTACCGGGTTTTGTCGACAGATACTGTCGACAAAGCTTCTGTCGACAAAGAGCGTCTAGACTATATCCAGTTCTGTCAACAAAGCAAGCCGCTTTGTCAACATAACAGTGTGGACGCAAAGGACAGCGTAGATGCAGTAATGCCTTCTATTGACAGAACTCTGTCGATAAAAGGTGTTATTCCTCGTAGAATGAGGTTTACATACGTCGACAAAACTGCTGAGTTTTGTCGACGTTATGTCGACATAACTCAAAGGCAGTGTGGACTCAGGTATAGTTTTGTTGACAAAAGTCCAGTTTTGTGGACAAAACCCTGTAGTCTAGACACACCCTCATATTCCTGGCTGGATGTCCATCTCTGTTTGTCCATTTGAGTGCCATCAGGATCTTCGTATTGATCTTCTTTCTCACATGCTCCCTTCTTTGCCTTTTGTCTAAACATAAGAGTCTGAGACTTTCCCCCCTGTCTGCAGGTGGCAGCTTCTCCCATTCTTGTGGCTGTCTTGGAAACCCCCTTTCTGTCTCCCATCACATACAGAGAGACCAGGTGACCCAAACTGCTCATGTACTCAGAGCAAGTTGTTCTGCACCCCATTCCTTAATCATCCTAAGATTGCCTGTCCTCTGTGGAGAAGGAGAAGGGATTTCTCAGAGCAGTTCTCAATGAGGACCAGGTTAGATAGACATCTGTCAGGGATGGTGTAGACGGAGCTTGGTCCTGCCTTGAGGGCGGGGGGCTGGACTCGATGACCTCTTGAGGTCCCTTCCAGTCCTATGATTCTATGATTTCCCTGAGATGAGTTTAGTTGGGATGTTTCTGCCCAGCTGTTGTTTACATGTTTTCAAAGCTCAGATTATAAGCGAGCAAGTGAATAGTTAACTCCAAACAGCATGGGGTGTACAAGCTGGGCTTTCATTGTACTAAGGAAGAGTGAGGGATCAAGCACCGTGAGGCATGGAATTGGCATTAGGCAGGTCAGTTACTCAGATTCCTTTCTCTGAATAAGGAACTTTTAAGTGTCCAATTTGCTTCACCCATAACAACAGCATCCAGCCGTGAATGTGTTTTCTCATATGAACATCATCTCCCCCTTCCAGGCATTTGTACTGTGACCATCACCCTAGACTCTGGGCACATACAGGAAGTCATAGGAATGTAAAGTATGTGCAGGAAACACGGCTCTGCCTCAGAGTTGGACGCCTTCTCTCCGTTCCATGTCAGATTCCAACTCAACCCACTTCACCAATCCCTCCACCTTCATCCTGCAGGGGGTTCCTGGCCTGGAGGTGGCCCATGTCTGGATCTCCATCCCCTTCTGTGCCATGTACATCATAGCCATCTTGGGGAACATCACCATCCTGTTCATCATCAAGAAAGAGCCGAGCCTCCATGAGCCCATGTACTATTTCCTCTCCATGCTGGCTGTCAGTGACCTGGCTCTATCGACATCCACCCTGCCCAAAATGCTGAGCATCTTCTGGTTCAATTCCAAGGAGATCAATTTCAGTGCCTGCCTCACCCAGATGTTCTTCATTCACAGCTTCTTAATGATAGAGTCTGGGATCTTCGTGGCCATGGCGTTGGATCGCTACGTGGCCATCTGCCATCCCCTGAGACATTCCACCATCCTGACAAACCCCGTGGTGGCCAAGGTTGGTCTGGCCGTGGTGCTGCGTGGTAGCATGATCGTCCTGCCTTATCTCCTGCTGGCCAGGCAGTGGCCATATTGCAGAACCAACATCATCCCCCATGCATATTGCGAGCACATGGCCGTGGTGAAGCTGGCCTGTGCCGACACCCGCGTAAATAACTACTACAGCCTCGTTGTGGCATTCTTGGTGACCGGTTTGGATCTGTCTTATATCACTGTGTCCTACACCCAAATTCTGAGGGCTATCTTCAGCCTCCCCACAAAGGATGCCCGGCTTAAGACTTTTGGGACCTGCAGCTCCCACCTCGGTGTCATCTTAGCCTCCTACACTCCAGCTGTTTTCTCCCTCCTCAGCTATCGATTTGGCCAAAATATGCCATTATATTTCCACGTTCTCATTGCCAGCATGTATCTTCTAGTGCCCTCCATGCTAAACCCTATCATCTACGGGGTGAAGACCAAACAGATCCGGGACAGGCTGCTCCGGCACATGACTCCTGCGGACTGAACTTTTCTCCCGGTTCTCTGACTCTCGGACTGATCTCTGTGCAGATTTGGCTGCTAACACAGTGCTTGGCCCTCCTCCCTGAATCACTGACTGGCCAATGAAGGGGGCAAAATTTCTGTATTGACTTTACAATGTGGTGTCAATGCAAGAATCTGGGTTTTCCATCTATGTACAATTCACAGGTTTGCCACAACTCTAATTGCTGGTATCTGGACTTCTGTGTCCCTCCCCGACCGAACCCTTCCATCAAGGCCCCTCCCCATGACCCTCTAATCTGTCCATGCCCAGGCCCTACCTCCACATCTCCCCCACGTACCCGTCCCTGTTGCTCACTCCTCTCCTTCCTCACCTCTATTAATCCCTGAGTTGTCTGCACCTCTCTCCCAAGATCTTGCCCTCACAAGGATCCTGCCTTCCAGTCAGAAGTGGCCCCAGCTTAGCAGGGGCTGATGTGGGTTAGAAATAGTTTTTGTGTCTAGATGCGTTATTTCAAATTAGCTTAATTCGAATTAACTATTTTGAATTAAGTTAATTCGAAATAGTGCTGTAGTGTAGACATACCCTAAGAGAGGCCAGGCTGGGTCAAACCAAAGGTCCATCTAGCCCAGGATCCTGTATTCTGACAGTGGCCAATGCCTGATGCTCCAGAGAGAGTGAACAGAAACAGGGAAACATCAAGTTTGTGTTTGTAAGCAAAACTCATGTTGTAAGCAAAACTCGTGAAGTCATTCTGCCGCTCTACTCTGCACTAGTTAGGCCTCAGCTGGAGTACTGTGTCCAGTTCTGGGCGCCACATTTCAAGAAAGATGTGGAGAAATTGGAAAGGGTACAGAGAAGAGCGACAAGAATGATTAAAGGTCTAGAGAACATGACCTATGAAGCCAGGCTTCATGAACTGGGCTTGTTTAATTTGGAAAAAAGAAGATTAAGGGGGAACATGATAGAGGTTTTCAAATATCTAAAAGGGTGTCACAAGGAAGAAGGAGAAAATTTGTTCCTCTTGGTTTCTGAGGACAGGACAAGGAGTAATGGGCTTAAAGTGCAGCAAGGGAGGTTTAGATTGGACATTAGGAAAAAATTCCTAACTGTCAGAGTGGTCAAATCACAAGGAGGAAGGAGAAAATTTGTTTCTCTTGGTTTCTGAGGACAGGACAAGGAGTAATGGGCTTAAAGTGCAGCAGGGGAGGTTTAGATTGGACATTAGGAAAACATTCCTAACTGTCAGGGTGGTCAAATATTGGAATAAATTGCCAAGGGAGGTGGTGGAATCTCCCTCTCTGGAGATATTTAAGAACAGGTTAGATAGACATCTGTCAGGGATGGTGTAGGTGGAGCTTGGTCCTGCCTTGAGGGCGGGGGGCTGGACTCGATGACCTCTCAAGGTCCCTTCCAGTCCTATTATTCTATGATTCTATGATTCTAAGTGATCTCTCTCCTGTCACCCTTTCCAGCCGCTGATAAACAGAGCTCTTTTTTGAACCCTGTTAGGCTACGTCTACACTTCACAGTTATTTCAGAGTAAGCTATTTTGGAAGTACACTACAGGGAGTACTTGAAATGAGTCTGAGGCAGGCTTCCCTAATATAGACTTGCTATCTCGATTTAGAGCCCCAGGAGGAATCACTTAGAATGGCCCTGGTGAGGAGCTATTTTGAAATTGCAAAAGTGGAGTGTCTACACATGCCTCATTTCAAAATAGCTATTTTGGAAGTGGTGTTGTTCTTCATAGAATGAGGTTTACAGAAGTTGGAATAAGCTGTCCGTTATTTTGAAATTGTTTCAAAATAACGGAATTGCTGTGTAGATGCTCACAAAGTTATTTCAGAATAACGGCCGTTATTCCGAAATAACTTTTCTGTGTAGACACAGCCTTAAAGTCCTGGTCTTCACAACATCCTCTGGCAAGGAGTTCCACTGGTTGCCTGTGTGCTGAATGCAGAAAAAATTCCTTTTGTTTGTTTTAAACCTGCTACCTATTAATTTCTTGTGGTGACCCCTAGTTCTTATTGTCATCAGTCAGGTGTCCCGATGGGTTCCACACAGGTCATCTACCACAGCAATGATGATAAACTTTCAGCTGCATGCGGGTGTGTGCCCCCCAATCTAATGCATTAACCATGCACAATTAGTCAACACGACAGATGCCAAAAGAGCTCCCAGACACCACAAATCAGAGAAGGATTGAAAGCACCCAGCCAGGTTTATTGCCAGCAAGAGCCAATAATATCTCTCAGCCAACAGACTCTCCCCTGTTGCACTACGCATATGTACCCATGACAATGGACTAGTTCACTCAGTACCATAGAGCCGGCATTGCCCCCTACGTCAGTCAAAGACCACTCTTTGGGGTGCACTTTTACACACAGGGACATACATGTTACACATCACTCTTGACATATCAGATTGCCACCTTCTGTTGCTTAGTCACCACCCCTTACCTCACACAAGGGGGTTCAATTACTATCTGTCATGCTGTCAGTTTAGACCCAGTCCTGAATCGGGCTTGATATGTTCCTGTTCTCTGTGGGGTTTGAGTTGGTATCAAGATGTTTCTAAAAAAGGCTGCGTCTATACTGACATGATTTGGCGCAAATACTTTTAATGGAAACGTTTTTCTTTTAAAAGTATTTGTACAAGAGAGCGCCTACACTGGCACAGATGCTTTTGCGAAAAAGCCATCTTTTGCACAAAAGCATCCGTGCCAGTGTAGACACTCTCTTGTGCAAGAAAGCTCCGATGGCCATTTTAGTCCTCGGGCTTTCTTGCACAAGAAATTAACTTGCCTGTCTACACTTGCACAAGAGGGCTTATCCCTGAGTGGGAGCGTCAAAGTATTTGCGCAAGAACCACTGATTTTGTACAGTACAAAGTCAGTGCTCTTGTGCAAATACTCGCGGCCAGTGTAGACAGGCGGCAAGATTTGCGCAAAAGCGAATGCTTTTGCACAAAATCTTGCTTTGTTACGACCCTTCTGGAATGTGCTCATGGACTGCGCCTAAGACCTCTTAGGTCTGAGTGTTTCTATAATATCAGCACTGTTCTTGCTAAGTTGTGTGGGCAGGGCCTGCCTCTGGCTCACCGCTTCCCTCTGTTTTATATTAGCAAAGTCTTGGCCATTGCTGTCAAGGCCTCAGGCCTCATATCTGCCTGTGATACGTGGGGTTATGTTTCAGGCCCTCATCCTACTATACTTATATTATGAGAACAAGTAAATAACTTTTCCTTACTCACTTTTTCTACACCAGTCATGATTTTATAGACCTCTGTCAGATCCCCCCTTCACCTCCTCTCTTCTAAGCTGAAAAGCCCCAGTCTCTTTAATCTCTCTTCATCTGGGACCCATTCCAAACCCCTCATCATTTGTGCTGCTTTTCTGAACCTTTTCCAATGTGACCGCATAAAATCTCTCCCCAAAAGCATGGGATTGACCAGAGATTTTGAGATGAAGCGACCAGATAAGATCTCTGCAGAGGGGCAGGCATGGAAGGAATGGGACCTCCCCAGAAAAGGGATCAGAGGGAGGAGGGGTTGTTCCAGGGGACTGAGGAAAGGTGAAGAATTCCAGTCTGACACCCAGCAACCGCCCTCAGCAGTTGTGTCAGGGCTGGCTGCTTTCTCACCGTGGGCGCAGTGCTGGAGTGAATCCCCAGCTAGCTCTGAAACCCTGAAAATGGAGGGACACCACGGCACGGCCAGCTCGTCTCTGGGCACCCAAAGCTTCATTGGCATGACAACACCATCAGGGATGGACTTAGCCCAGAGCTACAGGGACACCCATTAAGCACCTTCCCAGAGATCGATCTGAACGGTGGGTATGGCTAGACGCTGATCTTGTGGAAAATAAAGCCTTTTCCACAAGATCCCTTATCCCGTATTTCAAGAGGGTTAAGGGATCTTTCGGAAAAGGCTTTATTTTCCGCAAGATCAGCATCTAGACTGGCGCTTTTTTCTGGCAAAGCTCCGTGCAGAAAAAAAGCGGCAGCCATTTTTATGCTAATGAAGCGGGGGAGATTTAAATCCCTGCTTCATTACCAATTGTGATATGTTTAATTTACATCCCTTTTATGAAAAAGGGATGTAGTCTAGACGTAGCCCTTCAGAAACAGAGCTTTCTGAAATTTAATATTATGTTTTTATATAAAACATCCGTGACCTGGTAAAGACACATTCTGATCTGCACCACAGGAGAAAAGCAAGCCAAGATACAGAGCAAAGGAAAACAAAAGAAGAGTTTTTCCCCCTCCTACTCACACTTGGAATAGCTGACCCCCCTGACAATGTCTGTCTCCCTTTCCTTGCTTAGCCACCTGCACATTCTGCTTGTCAGGACTAAGCCTCACTGCTCACTGCAGCAGCCGACCTTTTGACACATAATCATGGGGAGCCAAACCTCCTGTCCGTCATCATTGACATCTGCATGGCAAAGGGACATAGTGTGACATTCTGTACCACAGGGCATATCCTCTAACCCCCATTTCCCACCTTTGTTTATCACTGTGATCTGACATACTAAGCATGCCTTGTAAGGTGTCAGGGGCAAGGTTATGATTCACTGAAAGTCATTTCTCTGTCCCTAGACATATCTCATTAGCACTGAGGAAGTTGTGAGAATTAGAACCATTTCTCCAGTTTGTCCAGATCATTTTGACTTATGGCTCAGAAAACACTTCCATTATTTTTTCCAGGGACTGAGGTAAGTCTGACTGGTTTGTTCTTTCTCCACCAAGGGCTGGCCATTACACATACTCATATCCAGTGTCTGAGCCACTGTAATCCCCAGGTCCTTTTCTGCAGAGCTGCTGCTTAGCCAGTCAGTCCCCAGCCTGTAGCAATGCTTGGGATTCGTCCCAAGTGAAAAATTCTGCTCTTGTCCTTTTGAACCTTATCAGATTTCTTTTGTCCCAATCCTCCAATTTGTGTATAAAAACATTAGAGAGAGAAGAAACATCATTTTCTTAAGTTTAAAAAGTAGAATTTGAATAGCTACCAGTGATGACAGACAGATCACAATAAGTTACAAAGCTAAAATGAACAAACCACACCAGCTAAACCTTAGAGACAGAGAGAGATTGTTACAAATCATCATTTCTCGCCTAGTTTCTCACCTTATTTCTGATACACTGCTTCTATCCAGAGCTGATATTTTCTCTGTCTTGGGTGTAACAGCTTCTCTCCTCATAAAAGTACTTTTTTCCAGGTCTTCTATGTGATATCTTGAGTTGGAGAGCAGACACACAAGCCAGCTGAAGTCCATCATTGTTTGCGTCCCATCCCTTAAACTGAATTCTTCCAGGTTCAGGGCCATTTAGTCCATGCATCCCTCCCACCTCCCTCCACCGTTGTGGAAAAAATATTGAATTCAAGATGGATTCCAGCACTAGGTAACACAGGGACATGTCTTTTTAGGACCAACCACAGTTTGGGCTCCAGGAAAAACATATCCATTTACAGATAATTTAATTAAGCACCAGGCCATTATGTTCTTTAAGCACCAATAATGGCTTTCACTGGATGACTGAGATTAATAAACTGATTTACATTTCACATTTCTAACTTCCCATAAAAGTATGATACATGCACAAATAGAATATACACATTCAGGTGGTTACAAGCTCTTGGATGATGTTACCAGCCCCATTTTGCATAAAACACATTTTGGGTTATGCATATGTATATATCAAAACATATTTGCATACAAACATGGGGCACCATGTCACACTGGTACCATCCTTGTGCCAGCTACTCCTTAGTGTCACAGAAAAAGTCATATGCGGGGCCTGCAGCTCAGCAGGCTGGGATGGAAATTTCCATCCTTGGAGTAACTAGCACCCTCCAAACGCAAACAGCAGCTGGCCCTTCTCAGCTTTAACCCATGCACTTACACTGGGAAACTACTAAGTGGTAAACAAGTCTGGCATACCTGGTAAACAACTGTAGCATAACTAGTATAGGGAGTCCCATGCATGGTGAGTCTCACCAGGGACCTAGACCTTGGAGGGTGCCCTGGATTCCCCCAGCTGGAGCCACATCTACTGTGACCCTGGTGCAAGGTGACAGGAACGGGACTCCCTGCAGATTGAAGGGACGTAAATATTTCAAAGTCTCTATTATTCTTTTATGCATTGTTCTGCCTGTGCTTATTGATGTGTCACTTTGGCAGTATTAATTCTGTAATAGCAATGACGTAGAGAAACTAATAAAAGCAACTATCTCTAATCAACTCTGTGTTGAAGCGAATCTTTAATCCTGTTTGGCCATGGCCCTGTGAGTTGACACTTAGTAGTTTGTGTTTCTACAAAATCAGCCCTGTGGTTTTATGTCAACAAAGTCTTAGCTACTTTTGCCCAGGCCTCAGGCCTCACACAAAGCCTGTACTACAGGTACTTCCGTTTCAGGCCCTCTTAAAACACTGGGGAAGTACAAATAACTGCAGAGATTTTATCTAGAATGCAGTTACTGCTTTCTCCTGGGTGGTTGAGCTCTCCGAGCTACTGAGAGTTTTTAACAACCAACCTATTGACAGACAGAGTCAGAGCACCAGGTAAAAAAATTATTCCCTAAGAGAAACAAACCGTAGCAGCTTGTCGTGGATCTGTTTGGTCCTCACCCCATAGATGATGGGGTTCAGCATGGGGGGCATTAGAAGGTACATGTTGGCAGTGAGAACATTGTAATACAAGGGCACGTTGTGGCCAAACCGTTGTGTGAGGAAGGAGAAGAGAGTTGGGATGTAAAAGGCTAAAATGACACAGAGGTGAGAGGTGCAAGTCCCAAAAGTCTTGAGCCGGGCGTCCTTTGTGGGGAGGTGGAAGATGGCCCTGAGGATCTGGGCATAGGACAGGGTGATGAAAAACACATCCAGAACAGTCAAAAATAATGCCACAGAGAGAGCATAGTAACTACTGACACGGATGTCGGCACAGGCCAGCTTTACCACAGCGATGTGCTCACAGTGCGTGTGGGGAATGATGTTGGTCCGGCAATATGGCCACTGCCTGGCCAGGAAGGGATAGGGCAGTGAGAGTATGCCACCGCGCAACATCATGGCCAAGCCAATCTTGGTCACCATGGAGTTTGTGAGGATGGTGGAATGTCTCAGAGGATGACAGATGGCCACGTAGCGATCCAAAGCCATGGCCACGCAGATTCCACCCTCTATCTTTAAAAAGCAGTGAATGAAGTACAGCTGGGTGAGGCAGGCACTGAAATCGATCTCCCTGGAATTGAACCAGAAGATGCTCAGCATCTTGGGCACGGTTGATGTAGAGAGAATCAGGTCGGTGATGGCCAGCATGCCAAGGAAATAGTACATGGGTTGGTGGAGGCTCGGCTCTTTCAAAACAATCAACAGGATGGTCACATTCCCCAAGAGGGCGATGGCGTAGATGATGCAGAAAGGGATGGAGATCCAGACATGGGCCTCCTCCAGGCCTGGGATGCCCAGCAGGATGAAGGTGGAGGGGTTGGTGAAGTGGGTTGTGTTGGAATCCGACATGTTTTGTTGGGAAAAAGTGTCCAAGTCTGAGGCAAAATGGTGTTTCCTTCATGTACTCTATATTCACATGAATTCCTGGATGTGCCCAGAGTTTAGGGTGATGATCACAATACAAATGCCTGGAAAAGAGATAGTGATAGAAATGTAGCCGTGTTAGTCTGGGGTAGTTGAAGCAAAATGCAGGACAATGTAGCACTTTAAAGACTAACAAGATGGTTTATTAGATGATGAGCTTTCGTGGGCCAGACCCACTTCCTCAGATCAAATAGTGGAAGAAAATAGTCAAAACCATATATACCAAAGGATACAATTAAAAAAAAGAACAAATATGAAAAGGACAAATCACATTGCAGAACAGAAGGGAGATGCGGGGTGGCACGCTCACTACTGGTCTATCCAGCTATGTAGACACTCTTCTCAAACCCTTCGTAACCAATACCCCCAGCTATCTCCGAGACACTACTGACTTCCTAAGGAAACTACAAAACATCGATAACCTCCCCAATAATACCATCCTTGCCACCATGGATGTAGAAGCTCTATATACCAACATCCCACATGAAGACGGATTACAAGCAATTAGAAACACTATCCCAGAGGACACTACTGCCAACCTGATAGCAGACCTATGTAACTTTGTTCTCACCCACAATTATTTCCAGTTTGAGAACAACTTATACCTCCAGATCAGCGGCACAGCCATGGGTACACGCATGGCCCCACAGTATGCTAACATCTTTATGGCTGACCTAGAACAACGTTTCCTCAACTCCCGTCCCCTTTCACCCCTCCTCTACCTACGGTACATCGATGACATCTTTATGATCTGGACACATGGCCAAGAAACACTGGAGATATTCCACAGAGATTTCAACAACCTACACCCCACCATCAACCTCAGCCTGGACCATTCTACACGAGAGATCCACTTCCTGGACACCACCGTACAAATCAACAATGGAAAATTAGACACCACTCTCTACAGAAAACCCACTGACTCATACAGTTACCTACATGCATCCAGCTCCCATCCAGAACACACCACACGATCCATCGTCTATAGCCAAGCCCTTCGATACAACCGCATCTGCTCTAACCCCACTGACAGAGACCAGAAGCTTCAGGATCTCTACCAAGCATTTATAAACCTCAACTACCCACCCGGAGAAATAAAAAAGCAAATTGAAAGAGCCAGACGAATACCTAGAAACCATCTACTTCAAGACAGACCCAAGAAAACCAACAATAGAACACCACTTGTCATCACCTACAACCCCCAACTTAAACCTGTCCAACACATTATCAATAAACTACAGCCTATATTGGAACAGGATACCATACTCAAAGAGGCTCTGGGAGACAGACCCATAGTCTCCTATAGACAACCACCTAACCTCAAGATGATTCTTACCAACCACCACAGGACATACCACACTAATACCAACCCTGGTACCTTCCCTTGCAACAAACCCCGTTGCCAGCTTTGTCCACATATTCATTCTGCTGATACCATTATTGGACCTAACCAAGTGAGTTATAAGATCAAGAACACATATTCCTGCGCATCCAGAAATATAATCTATGCTATCATGTGCCGAAAGTGTCCGTCTGCTATGTACATTGGACAAACATCTCAGACACTTCGCCAAAGGATTAATGCCCACAAAACAGATATCAGACAAGATCACAAAGAGAAAACAGTTTCTTGCCACTTTAACCAGAAAGGACACTCTCTAAATGACTTAGCCACCTGCATTCTGCTACAAAGACCTTTTACATCTGCACTTGAAAGGGAATCCTCTGAACTGTCATTCATGTTAAAATTCGACACTTACCACCAGGGACTTAACAAGTCTTTGAACTTTCTCACCCATTATCAAGACAGTTTCCCCAATTATCACCTGTAATACCATTAACTCACAAACATCCCACTCTCCCTACCTCTAATATCATCAATTCACAGACACTTACCTTCCTTCCTCCCCCTTCCCACCCCCCCGCCTCCTCCTTCTGTTCTGCAATGTGATTTGTCCTTTTCATATTTGTTCATTTTTTTTAATTGTATCCTTTGGTATATATGGTTGTGACTACTTTCTTCCACTATTTGATCTGAGGAAGTGGGTCTGGCCCACGAAAGCTCATCATCTAATAAACCATCTTGTTAGTCTTTAAAGTGCTACATTGTCCTGCATTTTGGAAAAGAGATGATGTTCATATGAAAAGACACATGCAGTACTGGAGACTATTCTACGGGGTGATGTCCATCAGTTACTTGATGATGAGAAGTTCATTATGTAGAGAAATGAATAAAGTGATCAATGGCCCAGTAAATTCTATGTCACCCCCACTGGGCGTATTCAAATATAGGACCTCTAGGAGGAGCTCTTAGAGCTTGAGCTACAGAGCCAGCTGGCTCCCATCTTTCACTGTAGAAGCCCCTTGTTCCCTATGGGCTGTAAGTGGAACTACGAGTGTGGGTTATCTATTCCCTCTAGCCAAGGAAGCGCATCCCAAGGTTCAGACACCCAGCTGAGATGCCGGACAAACCCTGACTTGTAGCCACCACCAGGCATATTTGAATCTGGGACCTCAGGCTGCATCTATTCTGCAAGCCTCTTGCAGAAGAAGAAATGCAAATGGAGTGCTCATTTCCATAGGTCGCACTCACATCTGCATTTCCTCTTTGGATCCCTGTTGTGCAAGAGGCTTTTGTAGATGGCTCCTTTTTGCGCAAAACCCCCTGTCATGGCTCCTTCCCCACTCCGGCATGATAAATGCAGAAGTGGGGGCCAGCAGGTGTACCCCAAAGCCTTATCTACCAGGCTTTGGTATAAAACTTCCCCCAAAATCTTAAAACCCTAGATCTTGGGAATAAAACTTTCGCTGGCACCACTCAAATATTAATAACGAGATTAGGGGAAAGATCATTTGGGGAATCTCATTCTTGTTATAAAAATCAGGACACACAAGTAACCAATGCCAGGTTCATAAAAAGAAAAGAGAAAACTTGTATTATTACAACAATATTCCTGTTGCAAGCATAAGGATCAGATGGAAAGGTAACAAAATACAGTGAGCCCTCGCTACTTCGCGGTTCGACCATCGCGGATTCACGACTTCGCGGACTTTTTTCATTACATTATGTATATACGTGAATCCGCGATGGTCGAACCGCGAAGTAGCGAGGGCTCGCTGTATACATGTTAAATATACATGTCCCTACTTCGCGGATTTTCACCTATCGCGGTCGGGTTTGGAACCTATCTACCGCGATAAACGAGGGTTCACTGTATACTCATGGAGGAATTACACCATGGGCTAGAACTTAGTTAAAAAGAAAAGCCAAACATCTCTTAAGCAGTGTCAGATCTCAGATCCCATACCCAACCCTTAAAACAATAAACAAAACTACCTAAACTTTACCCTACTTACAGAAAATGAAGAATGGTGTCTTGGAGAGAGAGAGAGAGAGAGAGAGAGAGAGACATGCTTGTCCCTCCCTGTAGCTGCAGAGAACACACCCAGAGAGACAAAAAAGAGAAAGGAAAAAATCCAAATTCCTTTGTCCCAGTTTGAAAGTCCCACCTACATTCCTACTGGTCACTCCACCTGGCTAGGTGCAGTTAACCCCTTAATCCCCAGGCTGATGGCTAACCCTCATAATCATGACACACACCCCCCCTCTTGCGCAAGAGCCGTTCTTCCTAATTTTTTCAGGAAGAACGGCTCTTGCACAAGAGGATTTTTGTACGCAAAAAGGAGCCATCTATACACTGGTTGCTCCCCTGGGTAACACTAAGTGATTTTATTAAGTACAAGCAATAGGATTTAAGTGGTAATAGGTGAGAACAGGCAGAGCTAAGTAGATTACAAACCCAAAATAACAGAAAACACTTTGCTACTTCTACACTAAAACTTCAGCACAAACAAATAACAGAAAACACGTTGCTACTTCTACACTAAAACTTCAGCACAAACTTATTACAAACTTAATACAAACTCTCCCTAAAACTGTTTCTTTCCCAGCCAAGCCTGCCAAACCAGGGAACTCTCCATTTCCCTGGGGTCTCTGGTTCTCTCCCTTGGGTGTGCCTCACCAGCCAGCCAAAAGACCAAAGTCTCCTACCTTCCTAGTGTTTTTAAAGATTCCCCTTTTGCATGAGAAGTCACCTGACCAGTTGCTTCCCCAGACCAACCACTGCTGGGACTTAAAGGACAAAAGAGATTGTTTAACAAATTTAGGGTAATGCCCATGCTGGCTTTCATTCACACATTTCAAAACCATAAACATTCCACATGCCATATGTCTCATTTCACACACAAGGGTGATGCATGCACCAAAATAAGACAGACAGATCCAGCGGATTAAGACATGAAGATTGGTTGGTTACACGAAGCAATTTGTCTCAAGCCCTTCTGGGTTAGGTATATTTGTGGCCATAAGATCATTTAAAAAAGCATGGAGGACTGAGGGGTACATCACAGCAGCAATATATAACAAATGAGAAAAAAAACAGGGAGAAGGGATACAAATTGGAAGTCATGAATGACTTCTCGTGTCTTGCACACAACACTCCTGTTAATGCAGCCCAGAATCAGGTTTGCTTTTTTTGCAACAGCATCACACTGTTGGCTTATATTTAGCTTGTGGTCCTCTATGACCCCGAGATCCCTTTCTGCAGGACTCTCCTAGACAGTCGCTTCCCATTCTGTGTGTGTGAAATGGATTGTTCCTTCCTAAGTGGAGCACTTTGCATTTGTCCTTATTAAACTTCATCCTGTTTACCTCTGACCATTTCTCCAGTTTGTCCAGATCAGTTTGAATTATGTCCCTATCTTCCAAGCACTTGCAACCCCTCCCAGTTTGGTATCATCTGCAAACGAAACAAGTGTCCTCTCTATGCCAATATCTAAATTATTGATGAAGATATTGAACAGAGCCGGTCCCAAACAGAGCCCTGCAGAGCCGCACATGTGAGGCCCTTCCAACATGACTCTGA